AAGAACGACAGAACGAAGCCCGACAAGCGAAAGAACCAGGAGAGAGCAGAGGGGGCAGAGGAGGGAGGGGGAAGGCAGCGGCCACCGAAAGAAAGAAAGAGACCGGGGCCCCGGGGCCCCCGAGGGGGGGAAGAAACCGGGGGGGGGGGGGGGGGAGGGGTACTCATGTAAGACGGATGCCGAAAGTCGGTAGACCATTGGCCTCGTATCCCTAGACGGAGTGATATGCCTTCCGGGTTTTGGCCGGTCCAGGCTACATACCGTACGATTTACGTTTCACAAGAATGAAGCAGAAGCTGGTAGTGCCATCATCATCCTTGCGTTTGCTGTGCCAAACCAGAAATATCCGGGTGGTGGGAGTACGTGGTTGAGTGGTGGCGCGTGCTGCAAGCAAGGTAGGCGACTGCTGATTGTTCATGTCTATACCCTGTGCTTGCTGTCGTTTTGATGAAACAGCTGTTCGCTGCAGCCGTGCTGGTAGATATGATGCACCCGAGAGGAACCGAAGATAGTTGGAAGAGCTGTGTACCGGGTGTGCCCCAACTGCCAGCGACCCCCCGAGGTTAGCTTTCCGCTCCCCAGCATACCAAGCTGTCGTAGACACCGCCGTGAGTTGTTTATTTCACAACCAAGCACAAAACTTCGAACACATACGTACGTGCATCCCTTAGGGCTAAGCGACTGCAACACAACGTAGAGAGAGACAACACACACGCTTCCGTCGAGGAAATCGCGCCACGAAGCACCTGCTCTGGGAAGACAAGCAGCTCAGCCAGCAGCGGCTCATCGAAGACGGCGTCTAGCCTCGGGGCATATGTACAGTACTGCTACCTGTTACCGCTGCTGCTGCCTACTCGCCCCCTCACCTTAAGGAGCTTGGTTTCATCGCGCACCATGGCCACCGCCCCTCCGTACTTGGCAACGGCGACCAGACACCGGTCCAGGTGCCGGTCCTCGTCCTCTGCCCAGTCCAGGTCGTAAAGGTGAATCTTGCGGTATTGGACATCGCGCAGGGTTGTCCAGTCGTCCGCCAGCATCTGGCGCACACGGCGGCATGGTACACAACAGCAGTGGTCCGCGCAACGACCGGACCGAAGCAGTTCTCGGTGGTATCAGGACTGGTTCGGCGCTTGGACAGCGATGATGGGGCGCATGTGTCAAGAGCTTGGACAGCGATGATGGGGCGCATGTGTCAAGAGGTTTATTATTTGCCGCAGTATCGTTCTTGTGTGGTACACGTTTACAGCAGTACTTGGGCGATTGTTGGCACCTGTCCTTCTTCTTCTATGTACTGTCTGCCCCTTTCAGACAGACAGTAGTCGAGTGGAGCTGTAATGCTCGGTGCGAACAGGTTCGTAGTTCATGCGCCCAAGCGTCTCGTTTATGCCCGAGTGCAACCGAAAGCCTAACCAAAGCCTTGCCCTAAAGACCCACCCGTCTGGTGCGTCCAACAGATATCGGAAGGTATAGACTGGCGCCCAGAATAGACGGGACGAAAAACCAACCCACTCTACATCTATTTGTACCGAGGCTACATGTAAAACCTACGGTATTCGAAAGGCGGGTGGTATCCTCCGTCTGAGAGAACGCGGCCAATCAGATGTAAATGTAGGAAACACATGCACATCCTCTTTGATTGGGTGATTCATGGGATACGCCAAACGCGGCTCACTTCTTGTTCCTTGAAACGTTAGCAAGCGTAAGTTAGGTGCTTGGTCAGACCAGCTTGTGTACCGTACGGCTGCTGTGAAAGTCCGTTAGAGAGAACGAATGCGGTGGAATTGCTGCTATCGTGCTATCGTGCTCCAGAGTTGTTTCTCTATGAACTTACTTTCGTACAATAGCATCGTCGTGTACGCCAGCCTCAATGTACCATGGGTCGAGAAAATATAGACAGAACTGCTGTAGATCTGTCCAGAAACGTGTGTTGCATGTTGCATATTTTGATGGATGTCCCGAGTAACCTTTACTACTGCTGTACCATGGACATGGAGGGAAGTTGAACTGGTGCTTGCATTCACTGCTGCTGCAGAAGTACAGCAGTGTGTTCCATACATCGTAGGTCTGGCAACTGCATTCGAGGAACTCGCGCTCACCTCTGCACACGTCTTGGCACTCTCTGCCTCTGTATCGTCCTTTCTCAGCGAAGACGACCAGATCGATGTACTGCTGTGAGTGTGGTGGGTGTCTGCACGTTGCTGGTTGCTGCACGTGGTGCTCCGCAGCCTGATGGGGAATACGGGACGGAATACCAATTTTTCAATTTTTCAAGAGAGGAGTTCCACTTTCTTTGCCGATGAGGTACGGGACCGCGGGGGTTGATTGTGGACGCAAAAAAAAACGGCGCGCGGAAAAAGGAGCGAGTGGGATCTTGATCTTGCTGCTGCGTAAGAGATGTGTGGCAGTCGAAGACTCGGGCAGCAGCATGATCGAGTGCCGTGGTTGTAGGAGAGAGCGTGTTGCTTTGATTTGTAATCCTCTTCTTATGAACGCTACATAGCCACGGCTGGTGTGTGTCACGTGAGGAAATAAATGAAAGCTTGCGGAGACGTTTGAGAACGTGTTTACACTGACGGTTTCTGCAGTTCGCCCCCCCAGCTCCAAGAATATTTCGTAGCTGGGTCTTTCCCCCCCAACCTTGAGCCGGAAAGACCCAATTTCGAAGTATTCTTGGAGCTACGCCCAGGGGCAGCTACTGCTGTTTCCATGTTTTGGTCTTGTTTCTACACTGCATTTTAGTCTCATACAGCATAAGTCAGAACCCGTTATTATTCACACGTGGTACATTGTACTTGGAAGTACCGGGGTAGACTCAAGCCATGCGGTATCATTTCGTTGAAGGCGTGTTCATGAATCTTCCTTCTCCTTGCATGGGCCCCGGGGGCGTAAGCTTTTTCTCTTCAATGTTGCGCTACAGTACTCCGTTAGTCTTACCCTGCTGGCGGCTCTCACGGCAGGCAAACTCGACATGCATCGGTCGACACGCGCATTCGAATGATCCCAGATCACACATCGACGAGCCTCTCGCATACATAGGAGCACAAGGTTCACCTTCTTCACGATGCCTAAGTCCTCGCCCCCCTCCACAAGGCAAATCTACAGACAAAACGCTACTATAGTGTATAGTGCACATAGTCTTCTGAGCGTCCACCACCCCGAAAAACAGAACAAGACAAGACGCAAACAATAACACCCCCCCCCCAAAAAGACCTTCTGCCCCCCCTGCTTCGATATCCCCACGGCCACACCGATCCTCAGCACGCTACACCGTCACCTTCTATACAAAACAAAGCAAAACACAAACAACAACGCCCTCATCACCAAATGTGCATTATCACCACGCCACCCCAAATACCCGCTGAACGCAAACCAACCAACCAATCAAATCAACCCATTCGATCAGCCTTTGATGACCGCAATAGGCCTGAGCTTGACAGCCCTCATGGACACCCCGGCGTCGTGGCATGTGTTCACCACTTCCGTCACGTCTTTGTAGCTCTCGGGCGCTTCCTCCATGACTAGCTTGGGGCTGGCCACTCTAATGGATATGCCCTTCTTCTCCAACCCCCCAAGCACTGCTTCGTAGTCCAGAGTTTTCCTGTGGAACCGTCGGACGAATCGCCGGACAAACGGACGGCGAGCGGCACTCTTGTTAGATACAGGAATAGATTACAAGCATTACGTGCGTACGTGTGCCTCATGTACGGACAGGACTAGCACATGTTGAGACAAAAAGCGCGCCGCCAGCGGCACCCTCTCCATGCGTCAACCCCCGCATTGAGAGAAAACATTTCGACCCCCCTCCCGTTTCCGACGAAGAAAATCCACCGGTGTGTCACTCCAAACGACGAAAAACAGGTATAATAGTACTGCTTCCTCGCGTGAGTCAAAACGAAATTGTTGCCTATTTAGTCAACTGGGACGAGCGTCAAGCAGGAGGGTAATAGGTCAGAAACGGGTGGTACATCATTGGAGTACTAAATACAAAAAGAGAGAGACAAAACAAGAACGGTAAGGCTCTCACCTGGACTCGTTTCTACTCTTAGCACGCCCGGCTCCGTGGCAAGTGCTACCGAACGTCTCATCCATGCCCTTCTGTGTGCCGGTTAGGACGTAGCTGCAGGTCCCCATGGTGCCCCCGACGATAACCGGCTGCCCCGTGAACTGGTAGTCTACCGGTATCAGGGGGTGGTGGGGGGGGAATGCGCGGGTGGCGCCCTTTCTGTGGACCAGCAGCGTCTTGAGGTCGCCGTCCACGATGTGCTGCTCCACCTGCAAGCGTTGTTTGTTCGAAAAATGGGGTCGTGTACCGAACCATGTGAAACAACCTGTTGCCCATGTTTACATACCGAAGAGTTTCTCGCCATACATACGAGGTGGCGGAGGGATCCCGAGCAGCGACAAGATCACGCGAAAAAAAAAAGAAGAAATGAGGGGGGCGAGCGGACCCCGAGCTGCACGAGGCAGTGTTTAGAAGACAGACGCAGTTGCATGCAAGCCCCGTTTGCTCTCGCGGACGCCACCGAACGCTTCCAATTGTACACGTCGTCTCTCTCCGTCGCACCAAAAAGTGGGAGAATCGACGCGACTGTTTACAACCACCAAACGCGCCATCGGACACACAAAAGAAGCCGAACCAAACCAGAAGACTAGTCAGGGCTAATATTGAGCCTGGGTATTGAACCCATGACTAACTTTTATAGAAGCCGAATCAAACCGTTAGCCTTGATACCGGCTTCAAAAGACAACGGCAACAGAAGAGAGCAGCCCCCCTCCCACCGTGCATACCTTAGCGATGTTATGCGAAACGTCATAGACGACGTGCATGTCCAGTTCCTCCGCCGTCTTGCCAAACTTCTTGGAGAAGGCTCGTCGCGTGAGGAACGTCATCATCGCGCGGTTAACCCAGGCGTAGTTTGCCGCCGCCGCCATCCCCGCCAAGTAGTCTTGCCCCTCCTAGGGGTGGGGGGGGGGGGGGGGTTCTTCCTTC